GGTTGGGCTTCTTCTCTCTAAATAATTTACGCCAGGACTTCCGGAACCTGATGAACGGTCGCACAAGCTTGACGTCGCCAAGAAAAGGCTGCTCGAAAAGTTGGGAGCAAAATCACCCATTGCCAGGTCACCAGATCCGAGAAGCAATTCCCAGTCTGATGTCTCGTCAGCAGCGCCTTCTATTGTCGCATTATCTCCTCCACAAAAGGTGATTGAAGATGACAACGAGGACGAGGCTCCAGAAGGAGACTATAGCTCAGAGGACAACCCAGTGATTGCACCTTGGAACCGGCTTCCATCTCCAGACTCGGTCACTGAACAGGAAGGAATCTATTCGGAAGATGAGTACTTTGCAGGTCAGCATCAAAAATCTTGGACGATTCTCACACTGATCAGCAGACACACCCGGACCCACGCAGAGAGCTCATCGATCGTCCAGTCCTATCAGCCCCACGGTCCACACACAGAACAAGGACCTATTGGGTACGCGTCCTTCATTCGTTTACACGAAGGCACAAGCTATCATCGGACCATACCAGCTGGATCCTACAGATCCAAGTCTTTGTATACCGCAGTCTATCAACCGGTTCCTGAGAGAATACCAGCGCGCAGGTGTCCGATTTTTCTACGAGCACTACACGGAAGGCAGAGGTGGGATATTGGGCGATGACATGGGGTTAGTCGCTCTCAACCATGCTTGCTGTACCTGACGTGACAGACTGGGCAAGACAATCCAGGTTATTGCCTTCGTGAGTCGACAGTTGGGCGACAATCCAGGTATCTGATCGAAAGCTCTCAGCGATCATGCGGAAATCGGGTACAGATGCGGATTGGCAACGGCGTAAACGCTTGGTTCGGGGTTCAGCCACTGCTGTCCACCCCAGACACTGGCCTACTGCTCTCATTGTGTGTCCCAAGTCACTCGTCAATAATGTGAGTCGCATCTCTGCCTTGATAATGACATTTGCTGAAGTTGTCAGTGGGAACGGGAGCTCGAGACGGTCAGTTCAGAAATGGCCCATCTCGGTAATTTACACTGACCACACCACAGTGGGGATATTTCGAGCATGCGACATGGAGGAGCGAGAACGCCGAAACTGTCAGATCACAATTTTTGAATGCCTATCTGGATATCAGTATGTCCCAGCCACTTTTCACATTCGTCACTGACCCGTCCAGTAATTTGCTCACTGGATACCGTGCGCGTTCACAGCGAGTCCATCAAGTCCTTGCCCGTCTCGTCAGTAAGCATATCTCACATGGCCTCTACCGTTGACGTCCATCAGAGTCCTGATCGTGGACGAAGCCCATCGCCTGAAAGAGCCAGAGGCTCAGACAACGCTTGCTCTGAAGAAGATCGAATGTCGCATATGCTTCGCTCTGACCGGCACGCTGATTCAGAATCGCATGGATGAGATGTGGAGTGTACTTGATCTTGTGGGTTGTGCTCTCCAGGAATGAGCGGGCAAAAATCTGACCGGTCAGGTGTGGCGAGGATGGGCTGGTACTTCAAAAGAATGGCGTGAATTTGCTGTGAACCCCATTAAGCGGGGCCATCGACTCAATGGCACAGCCGAAGAGGTGGTCAAAGGCATTGTGCGCTTCAAGTTGGAGAACGTTGCTGGGAAGATGCTGACGTGCAGATGCGACTCGGCCTGGTGCATGAGAAGATTCTCCCACATTTCTATCTTCGTCGAGACAAGCGATTGATTGCGGATGAGGTGAGAGAGTGATAGTTCGCTGACGGCGCTTATCCATCCCAGCTGCCGGAGAAGCGCGATCTAGTGGTTTTCTGCCCCTTAGGGATTGCTCAGATTTCGGCTTATCAGGCTCTCGTCGATTCGGAAGGTGAGTTTGATCTCGTCGTAGAGCTCGATCTGATGCATCAGGTGTTCAGTTCATCTTGAAACGGAAGGAAGCCTGCGATTGCGGCTCAGGGGAAGCGTACGCCAGTTTTCCCCATCAAAGCGACGACTGATTGGTAGGCGCATTGACTGTTGTCATCGGCTCACAGAAGAAGGCGAGACGCTAGGCATGGCTGTTCTAAAATAGTGAGTAGATGGCACAAACACTATGGCTCCAAAGGCAAGCTTACAGGGGAGCATGAGTGCTCTAGGCAAGGTCTCAAATGTGGGCTCCCATCATTCACAATATCATACTAATGAAGAAGCATCTGGCTCTTCTGTACCATGGTGAGTAGTCGTTCTTTCAAATGAAACAATAGCTTACCCCATGACAGGCAAAGACGATTCGCCGCATACTGTAAGCATGCATCCGGAATCCGTCGTGTGTTGACGGGTTGTAGCGCGAGGTCAACAGGCGGTTTTTCAGGATTTGTGTGAGTATCTGTACCACCCCAAGTCTATCACTGATTGTAGACTGGGGAGGATTACGATAGCAAGCCTCGAAATTCAATTCAAGCTGCTCTGTATGTGCTATCAACAGTCTGCCCGCAGGTTTGCTGACTGTTAGGGATCCTTCCAACTGTGGGAAATGGATGGTGAATCAATCCCATGGTATTGCCAATGTGACTGATCCCTCAGCTGCTGGCAAACTTACTGCAGGACTGGCGGAGAGACGACAATGACAACAAAGGTAAGTTTGTCGCCGTACCGTCAACGCTGATAGTGCTCAGTGCTGCTCTTCTCCAACTCTGTGAGATTGTTGAAGATGATTGCTGATTTCATCTCCACGACGAGTACGTCATATATTGCAGTCTGACCAAGGCTACTGACACACAGTGTCCGGGTTCTCATTCGACATTCTCTCTGGAGAGGTGGAAGCCAACGAACGACAGGAAATGGTAGATCGGTTCCAAGATCCTCAGCAGGATTATTTCATCTTGCTCGTCAGCACCCTGGCCGGTGGCGTTGGGTTAAACCTCACAGCTGTAGGTAGTTGTTGGGAAGCTTGCTTTATCGCTGATCCTCGTAGGCCAACAAGGTTGTGATATTCGACCCATCCTGGAGTGAGCTATCCCCAGGACTTTTTCCCGGTTCATGGCACTGATTTCAGATCCTGCCAACGACTTGCAAGCTATGGATCGGGCTTTCCGAATTGGGCAAAAGCGTCCAGTGTGAGTCTTCGGGTCCTATATACTGACTCATCGACCTTTGCTAACGTCAGTGACGTGTATCGTCTTATAGGAAAGGGCACATTGGAGGAGCTGAAATATGAACGCCAGAGTGGGTTTCCATAAAATCAGTCGAAAGGAATTGACGAAATAGTCCATAAGCAGCAAAGAGCACGACAGCTGAACGAAGGGACTTTTGAAAGGAGAATACATATCGGGATGGAGGGGGCTCGCAATGTTGAAGATCAGGGGGAACTTTTCGGATCGCAGAACATCTTCCGTTTCGATCCGAATGGGTTTGTCTCTAAAAATGTTTATATTTGATCCTGTTCTCAGGAAAACTACTCATATTGCAGTTGGAACGTATTCAGCAAGCCGAGGACAAGTTCCTGCAAGATCTGCTTGAAGCGGAGTACGACACCGATGGAGTCTTAGACGACGATTCAGAGGTGGGTCCATGGAGGTGTTCAGAGACCGGAGCTTACGTACAGGACGAAGCTGGGAGGAAAATGCGGGATGCTAATAAATTACGAGCTAAAGAGAAGGCAAAGTTGGTAGCTGTGAGGAAACGAAGTGATGATGATTTAGTCCGAGATGTTCTTGGGGAGGGATCGTCAAGTAAGTCGGTCCCTGTTCTTGGGGTAACGACGAAGTAGGACTAATGAATAGAAGTTCGGAAGGAAGATGATATGCTCAAAACTCTGCATATAGCCTGTCAGTTTTCCTATCTTGAGAACTCGTGCCAAGCTCATGAAATAGCTCACGTTCACGATGTAGCTTTTCGTGATTCTACGGAAGAGAAGAAGATTTATGAAATCGGTATTAAAGTGAGCACATATATATCTCACATCGTCTCGTCTTCTGGGGAAAACAGTACTTCGTATTGATGAATAGCTTCTCCGAGATAATCCCTCTTTGGCACGAACTATCAAAGCAAACGATCTTGGTAAATTGGGTAGACTGACAGGTGGACGTCGGAAGGACTCTGTTACTAGGGTTAAGAGAGAGAGGAAAGAGGAAAGTAGTGATGAGGAACCATGGAAGAGGAGGGTACAGATTGGCAAGGCCAAAGCTAAAACGGAAAATCTTGTGGAATTGAGCGACTGAATCGTCAAGCAATTTGTCAACCTATCTCTGCCCGAATTGTATTGTACATCTTGAACTTCGTCATGAATCATCGTGATCAACATCGATGTGTTGGATAATTTGCAGAAAGGGGCATTCAACGGTCGAAAGCAGACACAAATGATTTGGTCAGTGAAGAAGTACTTCACTGAGGTATGGAGACATACATATGTGAGAGCCCAGGACATGCATAATGCGACGACACAAAACATCATAAAATCTAAACAAATCTATATATCTACTTCCTCCACCTCCATCACACTCAGATCATTCCCATTCCCATTCCCATTCCCGTTCCCAAGAGCAGAGGTAGATCTAGGATTATAACTCTTGAACTCCCTCTCATCCACATCTTTCCCTTCCAAATGTCTCAGGAGATACTCACTCCTCAATACATGTTCGGGATCCACACGATCGCAAACACGACGAAAGACTTCCCATTCGGGATACAAAGCTTCAATCGATTTCGGATTGAGGTTATGTGTTTTGGCCCAATGTGGACGACCACCGTGGGAAGCTAAAATACTGGAAAACGTATCGTGAAGTTTACGATAAGGCATTGCTAGACCATAGGGTCTGAATAGTTAGCTCACTGACTTACGACCCTGTTCCAACTCCGGACAATGAGCGAATTTCTTTGACGCCGAGATGATTGGCACTTCGCGTGGGGGATCGATGAGTGATCAGTGAGCTTTTGTTATGTCTTTTGCGGCACGAGTGGGAAGGAGGATGTTGACGGAGAGCTTGTGAGAATAGCTAGGTAGATAGGGAGGGAAAGTGTACGGGTGAAAGCAAAGAAACATGAACCCACCGATAAGTCACGATGCCGATCCATAAAGTTTCCCTACCATATGAAGGCGATAGATAAATGTCATCCGCGCAAGACCACCGAATTTCCATCGGGAAATGCGTTTTCACACCATTAGGATCAGAAGCTTCTTTCGCAAACCATGCTTGTATTTCCGCAAGACAGGCTTTACCGTTAGAAGACGGTATTGCCCATTCCACCGTGTATTGAGGGAACTGAGGGTGAGCAAGGATCGCAGACGCAACTTCCCTTCACATACACTCCCAACCGACCACTTCTCGTCTTCGAAAAAGTGGGATTGTGCACCTGTGGCGGCCGGCCATCCCACTGTCCAAGACAGTGGTAGACTTCAGACTTCATTACAACGGGGGGAATGGAAGTGAGCCAGACGTCGTTCGAGGTCAGAGTAGTATGAGGAGTGAAAAGTGTGGAGGAAGATCAAAAGGACTTACTAAGCAGTCAAAGTTGAGAACCTTGTGTCCCTCATCAACAACCACCGAACGTTGGTTTACCAACCACCAAGCCCACATCCCGACCCAAGGAGTAAGCGAGGGGAAATAACGAGAGCAAAAGAGGAAGAACTGAGTGACGTGATAGCCTAGTATATGTGCCCAAAGCGATGGGACTGGTTTAGCGGGCTGTAAAGTCAGCATGAGTGCTCTTGTTCCCTTCCTACTCGCGGGCATGAATGGCCAAACGCCATTTTATGAGGCGACTTAAAATTGTACTAGGGAGGATGTAGGGGGAGGAGGCAAGATGACACGTAAAACTCACCTCGTACGTCCTATCAGCCCTACCGACAATCATACCCTTTCCATCTGGATACCACCACACCCTAGCATGTTCCGCACTATGTTTAATCTCATCTAACCTTTCCAAAACATCTTCAACTTTCATAGGCGTTTTACTCTCCCTCAACCTATATGCAGGCTCAGCTTCGATTTCAACTTCCAATATCAACCCCGTCGCTCCTAATCCACACAAACTTGCTTTGAATAATTCAGCGTCTTCCGTCCGTGAGACTCGAACGATCGGTGCTCCAGGTAATGGGAGAGCGAGGAGGAGGGAACGAACGTGGTTCGATATGACAGGATAATTGACTCCACTACCGTGTGAAGCGGTGGAGATCAATCCTGCAATAGTTTGATCGGAAATGGAACCGATGTTAGGAAGGGCTAATGGAGGTGAAGCTTGAGACAGAAATTTGTGAATTTGATGAAGTGTGGTACCGGCTTTGAAAGTTGCTGAAGTGGATTCCGTCAGAGTGGAAGGTCCGTGGTGAATCTGTTGAACGTTAGCTACCTCCTTTGTAGGTGACATGGAAGACGACGTCCCTCACTCCATTATTTCAGGATATAAAAGAGGGAGGGAGGTAGCTCAATTAGGAGATTCGACAGATTTCTTCGGGTGTGAACGGAAATCGTGAGTGAACGCACCTAGAGCTCTAGAGCCCTGAAGGCAGGGGAGGAGAGGGCAAGAAGAAGAGAGAGAGAGAGGTTCGGAAGAGAACAAGTCATTGGTATTTGCCACCAGTGTGACAGAAAGAGTGGAGGGAAATGTAGAACTCACCTGGACCAAACCTCCATACGAATCCATACGTATCATCCAACCTCTAGTACAGGTCAAATCGGAAGGAGAATGCCCCACTCCAACCGGTCTCAGATTCTTGCCTTCTCTTCTAACAAGTTCTAGAACTTGGCGACATTGTAGTGCGTCGACAGGTTCAAAGACCCTCTCGGGTAAACATTCGAAAGTCTTTGCCCAATTGGCGAACTTGGCTCTGGAAGAGGAAGGAGATACGGCGCAGTGCGATACGGCGGTCTGCAAGTCTGCGGTGGAGATGCTGGTCAGGTTAGCATCCATTACGTCTTGTGATTATTCTGTTCGTTTGGATTGATTAATAATAGTTGCTCCGGGACGGTGTTGATGAGATGATTCGAATTGATAGAAGATCGATACGTAAGTTGAGTGGTTGTGGTTGTGGTTGTTGTGAGGTTGTCTTGAAAGAGACGCGGTTCTCTCGGAAGACTCCTTGCCCCCCTTTTATGATGTTTGGTCGTGGTAACGCTGACACAATACGAGGGAAATAAGTTGTATGTTGTGTAATCTGATAAAGGAGCGTCGAAAAGAGATCGGACAAGCTCGGACACGGACTCGGGCACACGGTCACTGATCACTGTATGATCTACACTACCCAAAGCGTCTAGTCTTTCTATATGTTCTATGAGTCCAAGCTAGTAGCTGGCGAGCTACAAGTCGCATCGATTCGGATCAGATCGAGGGGTTTGTTTTGTGCACGGCCATCCGAGGTGAGTGACCGATAGCCCGATAGAGTAGACCGAGGGTGAGTCGCACCTTTGTCCCAGCCACTGTCGCCACTGACCACGACCACTGGACGTACTGGCCACTGCCACTGAGAAACCAACGTGTGCAGTAGACAGTCGACTGGGAGAAAAGTGAAAAGTGAGGAATATCAGATTAGTGGCGATGGGATGAGATTTCCCCATCGCCATCGGGCGCCATCGAGGCGAAACTTACGGAAATTCCGATCCGCCGCCTATCATCAGGATTCACAATCAGATCAGATCAGG